TCTCAACCCAGCAACTTTGCTTGATTCGCCCGTTTTTCTCTCTAATAATTCACCGGTAAGATCAGAAATAAAAAACCTTCTGATTATATCTTGAGAACCCTTGTGAAACAGAGCAATATTGTTTTTGGGATTTCTGCGTATGTTGTTTCAGCCTATACATGAAAGCGTATGTTGAAGATAAAAATGTAAACGTATAAAGTGTATGCATTTACACAGGCACACCCATGCGTTCTCTCACTCTCTCTCTCTCGGGAATTTGAATGGGTGTTGAGTCACAGACTCAAATTTGGACTTCCCTTTTTGAGTGATCTCTTTTGTATGACTCAATTGGGAGATTAAATGTTTGAACTGTTGAACAACCACATGTAGCTGGCATGCTAGATCATTTTATGCAAGATTTTCTCTGTTCATGTGTTCAACTGGAATTGTATGGAGATTAAAGCCATGGCTATTGAATTTGACAAGGAGTATGGTTTCTCCTTGAAGAATTTGGATGCATATGAAAATTCACAGAACATTGCAAAAGAAGTTCTAGTTTTTTCTCTTATTTTAACTTAGAGGTCGAATACTTCATCTCTCACATGGATCAATTTTATAATCTATAGCTCGTCAAAATTTGTAATTTATAATGGAGTAATTTAAAAGGTTGTTCAGCATGTTATGAAGGGAGCATGAGCTATACAGAAATTCTGATTCAAGTTATATGTCATTTGTCAAAAATTCTTTTTGTATGATATTTTCACAGTTCCTTACATTCACAGTCCTGTTTATCTTATTCATGTTGCTGCTTGCTCGAAGACGTATTCTTGTGTTAAAAATCCAAGAAATTCTGAAATTGCAGAACTCTAATCAATCGGCTTGTTTTTCTACAGGTAATGCCATTTCCAACTACTGGAAAGTTTTCGTTTGTACCAAACAGCACCAGTCGAAACTCAACATTGATGACAAACAATCCCGATAAGGGCAAAGAGAATCTTTTTGAAGAAATTGATGCATCGTCCTTTGCATTCAAGCGTGTCAGGGAATCCAGTTCTTCTCCTTACACCGGCGCAGCAAGCAAAGTAATTATACTCCTTTTCCCCTCAAGATACGTAAATAGTACGTGCGTACTCAGGCACTACATGCATTTACTTATGCTCGGTTAAACCCTGGTAGTTGCATACTTGATTGTCCTGCAAGTTTTTTGTATCCAATGTATTGTATATTAGAGTTAGTTTTCACTTTATTTTTGCTTTTCATTTCAATTAACTAGGTAAATCCATCTAGTCTCCCACAACAGTCCATTCTTGACGTCGATATATTTTTCCAGCAGGCTGATTTTTCTAGATCATCTGTTGAAAAGAAAAAGAGTAGCGATAATATCTCTTCAGAGCCAAGGAACTTTGATGTTGTGGGTAGCATTGCAGGTCGTTCTCCTCCTCTCGATGGACTGGAAAACAAGGATGCAGATCAAAGAGGCAATTCCGATCCCAATGTTGGGGGCTGTCTAGCTGAGGATGGTTATAACTGGAGAAAATACGGGCAGAAACAAGTTAAAGGAAGTGAGTATCCTCGGAGTTATTATAAGTGCACACATGCAAATTGTCCAGTCAAGAAGAAAGTCGAACGTTCTCATGAGGGTCACATTACAGAGATAATCTACAAGGGTGCACACAATCACCCAAAACCTCCACTCAATCGCAGATCAGCCCTTGGAACCTCGAGTGCACTTTTTGACATGCAGCTTGACACTGCTGAACAACATGGCACAGGTTTTAATGATCATCCTGTTTGGCCTACCGTGCCACAAGCCGACTTGGGGCAGGACAGTGTTGAGCCGACACCATCAGTACCATTAGGACAAGAATATTGTAACGGAGCTACCTCTTTGCCGGCTCAAAGTCCCTTTCAGTTTGAGTTGGGTGATGGTGTTGATGGATCTTCTACTTTCTCAAATGATGAAGACGAAGATGACCGTGGAACACGTGGCAGCATATCATTAGCTTACGATGCTGAAGGGGATGAATCGGAGTCAAAAAGAAGGTCTCTACTTTTTCTGTTGAATTGATTGATTAATAATTAATATGAGGATACAACGGATAACTCGTTTTTGTGTTCTCTATTCTGTAGGAGAATCGAAACTCACGCTTCGGAAATGAGTGGGGCTACCAGAGCCATCAGGGAGCCAAGAGTAGTGGTGCAGACAACCAGTGAGGTGGACATCCTTGAGGATGGGTATCATTGGCGCAAGTACGGGCAGAAAGTTGTAAAAGGAAATCCAAATCCAAGGTTAATTGCTTCTTCATACGGCCCTTAATACCTGTGAGAACCTAGAAATTTCGCCAAAAGTTCAGTGATCACTAGCATTTTTAACCTAATGTTCCGGTACTTGTCATGCAGGAGTTACTACAAATGCACTAGTGCAGGCTGCAACGTGAGAAAGCACGTGGAAAGGGCTTCACACGACTTGACGTCGGTGATAACCACATACGAAGGGAAGCACAATCATGATGTTCCCGTTGCTCGTAACAGAAGTAATACCAATCCTGGGTTTTCCAACACGCTTCCTACCCAACCTCATGCTGCTTTGACTCGTACACGCAGACCCGAGCCTTCACAAAACATGGCACAGTTCGAATGGCCATCACTTGGCTCTTTCGGACTTCCCGGGAGGCCACAGTTTGTCGGACATACTCATGTCTTTGGTTTTGGAATGAATCAATCGGGTCAAGCCAATTTGGCAATGGATGGATTGGGGCCTAATCCATATTTAGGACAGGCACCAACAAATGATATGAGTTTTATTCTGCCAAAAGGAGAACTTAAATTAGAACCAACATCAGATTCTGGTTTGTACAAATATTGACAATATGTTATAACTAATATTGCATGCTTTATGATATTTCATCTTTTATTTAGAGTACCAATGTGTTCAATTTTCCTTCCTCGAATTATAATCCGTATTCTCCCGTTCAAAGGAGCGCGTGATCTTCGTAAAACAAGACCAAAGAAGGATGGTTAGATCAATATTAACACGACTCATTAGTTAATATAGAGATGTATTTTGTAATTTTTTTTAAATAAAATATGAATCTCTGAATATAAAATAAAATCTCATGATTCTAGTTTAGATTCTACGATCCTAAAATTTCAATGATTATTTTTCATAATTATCCCAAAAACACGATCGTAAAAGTTATTTTAATCATATTTGACCATTCATTTACAATTTTAATCTAATTATGAGTGAAATGCAAACCTCTAAAAATAAATATTAATTATTATACATGCATGTATATAGTGAAATGTATACTTGAATGTAAGTGTTAGAATTACAACTAAATGCATAAATAAAGATGAATGGTAAATACGATACACAAATTAACATAAATGTTAATTAGTTTAGAGTTAATATCAAAAATATATACGTGACAATGAATATTAAATCATTTATATTAAATGCATGCATATAATTTAATTTCTAATTAAGTGAAATCGGATGCTAATTAGCATACATAGACATGAATAATAAAATGCATCATTGAATATGAAATTTTAATTAATATTAATTAAATGAATGTGAATATTAATTAATAACAGGGAGTTGAAGTGAATGTGAATGTGAATGGGAAATTCTAATTAATATTAATTAAATGAATATAAATGTTAATTAATTGATTATAATTACAGTTTATAAATAGATACATATTGAAAAACGAAAAATAAGATGTTATTGAAATAATTGAATTATAGTAGGACCACAATCGTTCAAAAAATGATTCATTTATTTAATATATTAGTATGACTATAATCGTCCAAAAAATAATTTTCATTCTATGTGATATTTAAAATACTATGGATTGTACATTTAGCCCCTGTTTTGGGTACATTAAAATTTTCGTTTTTATTTCTCTACTCATTTTCAATCATATATTTTTCAATAAAATAATATTTTCCATCACATCAATAATTTTTTTCTTTTTCAACCACACATTCTTCATCAGTCTACTATTTCAAAATACATTCTTTCAAAATAATGCAGCTCAAACGCACCCTCGAGTTAAAGTCAATAATTAGTAGTCATTCATGTAGATGAAGGGACGCATCATTTTTATCAAAATTAATGAAAGTTTAGTTTTTATTCAAATTGGAGCTTGGACCCAAAATTGCATAGACGTGTAAGCCTTGGCCTCCGCGAAGAACACAAAAAGGAGGATATCATTGGATCACGCACTTACCCGTCCAATTCTTCTCAAGTCCAAAATCAAAAGAAAAAGGAAGAGAAATAAGTCTCTCTCTCTAAAATGGGAATACTGTACCTACCTAATATCCATTGATTGATTCCTGGACCATGAAATTGCAAGGATTGTGAAAATTTGACCGAATATAGACACACTTTGTGTATGTATATACATATATAGTTGATGAATTTTTTTGATGGAGGAGGTGATTGCTATTGAACTGATGAGAATTGCATCTCAAAGACTGAAACCCTAAAAACCTCAGAATTGCTTTGCTTCACTTTAGTTAAGGTAAACTACTGCTGCTGAATTTAAAATTTTGGTAACGAAATCGTCAGATCTGCGTCAATGAACTTTGATTATTTCCTCTCTCTCTAGATAGATCTGTGGAATTCGCCTCAGGATTTAACCGTTAGGGGATGTAAATAAATATGTTGAAAAATAAATAAAATTATACTTACTTAATTTGAGTTTTGTTCCAAAGAGAAAAGTGAGACATCTTGTTTGCCCTGAAGGTGCTGATAAAACGGAAGATGTTTTGGCTGGGAATTTGATGTGGCAAAACTTTATCTTTGTTTCTAATATACTTGGAAGTGTAGAAATATGTTGGTTGACTTAATGAAGTATTTTGTGAAGTTGGTTTTTAGATGAAGCCTTTGATTGATTGATGATTATTTGGAATTGTTAAAACAGAGATAAATCTTGGTGGAGGTTTTTTTGGAGCTGCGTTGACTGGATACCTATACAGAGTGATATATACGGACAGTGGATTTGGAAAACATGTACGCAAGGCGTCGAGGTGGTGGTCCCGGAAATGGGTACAGACCTAATGGGATGGGAATGGGCAGGCTGGCGGCTGCCTCCCGAATTTCACCTGAAGGTTCAATTAGAGGTCATCAGATGTATAATTCTGAATATAGAAACTATAATCGCAGTGGCTATGGACGCGGTGGCCACTCAAAGCCCTTCCAGTCACCCTTCCCGCCTCCGCATGATACTGATATTTTTATGGAAGCTGGTAGGCTAGCGGCTGAATATCTAGTTACTAAAGGGATCCTGCTTCCAAATGCACTTCCAGGGAAGTGGCAAAATGGTGACTGGAAGAACCAGATGGGGGATTTTATGCAGATTCACGTGGACAGTCGTACATCAGCTCATTCCCGTTTGGGGACTGATGCTGCTGATGTAGGTCCTGGCAGGAGAAGGTATCCTGATGAATATAACTCGATGGGGTCAAAAAATTCTATGAGAGGGAGGAGAAGAACTGGGTCCTCCAAAAATCAAGTTTCTGATTGGAACCCAGAATTTGTGAGGAGTGAGTCGTGGTCTGATAAGGGTAGGACTTCCCCAGGTATGGAGGCTGACACTAATATTTCTGCTGGACTTCAGGATGAGCAGCCTGTGCAAAAAGACAGTGATACTGGAGTGCAGAATTCTTCTGCCGGCAAGTTAACTCAAGAGAGTGACAGTATGGCTGATCTTCAGTCGGGCTTAGATGAATGCAATTTAGCTGATGATGCAGGTGCAAAACAAGGTTCTTTTAGCAATGAGAAGGACGTCCCATCAAATGATGATGTCAAAACACCCATCAAAAAGTCAGATGGTACTACTATGTCCAATGAAGAAGCTGAGGAGGATAAAGAAGGGAGAAGTGATAGTGTAATGGAGCAAAAACATGATGAGAATATGGAGGTCACAGCTTCTTTACAGGAGGGCAATTTAGCAAGCGAGAAAAAAGTTGACTTGATGAGGTACTGCAAATTTGCAAGTGTTCCTACTAAGACTCGTTCTTCGTTGGCAATTAGGGGTTCAAAGGTTGACCTGGATCCCAATGCTGAGGATGAGACCATTAATGAGAGCAAACTTTCTGAAGACTCTGGCATCCAAGTCATAGATGTTCCTGTTGATGGTTCCGCTCTTAATGCTTCACCTCATAAAAGCCATGAATCAAGCAGCCTCTCTAACGTTCTGAAAGCTCCATCAGTGGAGGAAGAACTGGGTGCTGCATACACTTCAAGGCCAGGGCACTTCTTGATGTCTGGATCTTTTCCCGTGAGATCTGTAATTAATCAGCAAGAAATAGATGGGGGGCTTCCTGGATTTGGAAGCAGCAATCCCATGTTGTTGGAGAGAGGTGAAAAACGACAACTGGGGGATGACATTGATGATTGGGAGAGAGGTGAAAAACGACAACTGGGGGATGACATTGATGATAAGGATGGAACTAAAAGACCTAGGGAATGGACTCCTCCAGTGGAGATTCAGTCTGATGGCTGCCTGTCCCTTTCCAACTCAATGGAAAATCAGCATACTTCAGAAGAGCCAAGGTCTTCACATAGTGATCCTGCTGCAACTTTGTTTACTGATAAGAGAAGTTCAGATATTTCACTGTTTCATGAAAGTCGCGTAGAGTTAAGTGAGTACACAGAAGAAAAGCAGCTATTTCCTGGTTCATTTAAGACGTGCGACCTTAATCTCATAGAAACTTCTGACGTGAATGATAACCATGCTGCTGATCCTATTCTTATGTTTCGGTCTATTACGGAAACTGGAAGACAAGCAGCACCTGTAGATATTGATTTGACCATGAGTAGTAATAATTCCAATGTTCCTAATAAATATGGTAAACGTGGAGTTGGTGATAAAGACATCGAAGTGATTGATTTGGAAGATGATTCCATGCAAGAAGACAAGACTTTTACTAATGCCGAGAGAAGGTAAGTTTCTTTATTCATTAAGCTTCCCTTGCTTATACACATGTATATATTGCTGAACACATGAAAGAAAACATTCACTTTTGGACTTTAATTTGGTAGAAACTTCATTAACTATAGTTTGCATTTCATTAGGTGTATTATTTTCTGCTTGCATTCCTATTACATGCTTACTTCATCACATTATTTCCGTGTTCTTATTGTGAAGTTCTCTTCTGAATTTATCAGTTTCAATGAAACAGGGCAGATCCTGTATTTAATGGGCTGGACAACTTTCCTGATAATGTACATAATGTGACTGAGATTCCCGACCATCAAGACAGTTATGGACTTCTGATATCAGATTATCTCAGAAATGATTCTGTTCCCACAGATCTGAATGCTCTGCACAATGATATGGGCCTTCATAATGGACAGGTAATGGAGCTGAATTGTTACAGGTCTTTGATTTTAAAGAAAACTGCACCTTGTCTTTTTGGTGCTTTGTTTGTCATTTTTTTTATTGTCACAAAATCCATCTAGTTCATATTCACTACAATTTTCATGTGCCTCATTGATAGCTACTAGTGTAGAGTTTTGCCATCATTAAAGCCCTGCTCTAACGAACACTCAACTGGTCATTACAGGGGATTCTTGGTGAAGACGATTCAATATACATGTCCTTGGGAGAAATACCGATAAGTATGGGAAAATTTCAGTTTAATGAATTTTGATAAAATTTCTTACGAGTATTGTGTACGTATTCATAGTAGATGAGCTATAAAAGGCTTCAAATAGCAGGTTTTGAAATATCTTAATGAGAATTGTGCTTTACAGCTTCATGGATGTAGGCATATGAAGAAGCCTTTGATATTTTATTGCCTTGGAAAAAATTTCTTGAAACTTTGATTTTGCTCTGGATTGAGTTTGGTTCTAGCTAAAACATAGCTAATCACTTTTATAAGCTTTGGGGGTTTGATAAATACTACTCCCTCTGCCCCAAATTCTTCGACCACAATTTCTTTCCAGAGTTTCTGAATTAATTCTTCAGCTTAAAAGTTGTTCTGCAATTCCATCTGTGATTTACCCATAGCCATTTCGAAAAGAAACATCTTTCATGGAAAGACAAATTTGTATGCTTTAAAATATTGAAGAATTACTACGGAAAATCAGTTGAACATATAGTTGAGAAATATCTTAAAACGCTTAGGATATGTGAACGTATTGTGGTCTCAGAACAGTCAATTTGGACAAAATTGAAGACGGGGAATAGTTCTGTAATAACCTGGTTATTTCATGATAAATAATACGTGATGGGTCTAATTATTTTCATTGACAATTGGACAAATATGCGTAAATGAAGAATTTGCAGAAATAAGAAAGATCTTTTCCCCCAGTATACTTAGGCCAATGTAGCACACACTTAACTGTCCACCTTCATTTTAGATTGTGAACAGATATGGCATATGTTATTTAACTTCCATACACTTCCTCGTAAGTTCATAATGAATGTGTTTGTTCATGTGTAAGGTTTATGCGGTGCTGTTCTTTCTGGAATTGGATTGAACCCATAAAGATTTGATGGCTATTTTTTATTTTTTGTGTGTATATAACTGGTTGATCCTTTGCAAAAAGGGCAATCAGATAACTCCTCTGGTTTTGGGTTCAACAGTGAACCATATAACTGGACCAAACCAGCCACCTCTCAATTTGAAAACACCGAAATTGCATTTTTTTTCACAGAACCTGCCTATGCAGAACGCGAGAGAGAAACAAAATAAGAGAGAAGAAGAAGAAAGGATGTGAAGGAGAACATAAATTTGGGAGGAAAATTTCAAAATACTTGTTATCCTGACCAATATTTAATAGCATATACTAACTGAATCCCATTAAGATCTCATATAAACCAATCTAATCTATTCACAGGTAAATTTAAACTACTTTTTATGCAAACCTATTCATATTAAGTCTTAGTTAGGTCTTTATTAGAATCTCCATCACTGCCATCTGCCATTCTGATTCTTGAAATTTTCCCCGCCCCCCGGGTGTGATCAAATATAATTAAGGGTTAAATATGTTTGATGGAAATACATGTATCCTGCCTATTTCAGTCCTTGAGATGTACATCTTCACAGCTTTCATTGTTTTAGTATTTAGCTTGGAGTTTTTGATTCTCAGAACTTCAAATATTATGTTGCATGAACCATGGCACAGTTTATCTTTATCTTGTCCCATCAAGTTTTCTGTCTGATCTTAATTCGAAAATGCATCTGTTACCCAGATCTATATTTGAGCGATGATCTCTCTCTATCCTTCTGTCTGCCTAGCTAAACACATTATTATTGGATTTGTTGCAGGCTTTCTCAGGCCGTGGGAGTAGCACAAGAATATGGGAAACCATTTTGAGAGATTATATATCAAGCTGTTTCATTGTTGTGTTGTCAAAGTTTTTTATATGAAGTCTAAGTCATTTCAGATCTTTAGTTGCAATAACTTTATCGTACTATGTTTTGTCGCCTGTGTCTGACCTTGCTTGTAATGGATTTGAGCATATTTTCTTATAGTAGGATATTCGAAAGACAGCAAGTGCTCGCTCTTATTATTTTACTGATTTCTCTGCACACAGCTGTTCGAGATACATTTGGAAACAATTTAGCTTAGGACATAAAAGGTCGTATGATTCCCTTTCCTTCTTGACTGTATAGTCTCTTTTGACTAGTGATTGTATGTGCGATAGTGAGAATGTCAAAAGCTACAGCATCAAATGTGGAAACTTATTTAATTCTAGATGGCAATTATGTAATGAGTATTGCCTATTAAATTAGATTACCTTATGAACTCCTTGAGGAAAATCTTTGTTGATCATGTTTTTTCCACTGTTATCTGTGAGCCTGTGACCAACTTTGTTTTATGGTTTAGCATCAATGTGAAGTCTAGTTCTAGCATCAGGGCCATTTGATGATTGTGAGAGGCACAAGAAAACTTGTAGTCGTCTTCTTCATTAGATGTAAACCTGTGTTTGCTTTGTTTATTTATGGCTATGGTTTTCATTCAATTTGTTATTACTCTTTGAGAGATTGTTACTTATGTGACATCTTCTGCATCTTTTCCTACCTGGATTGTGATGTGCTGCATATACGCATTCTATTATTGCATGTTGTAACCTTCAGGGGTTGCTCAATTGGTCAGATCTTGGGTTTGCTCCACAGAAGTCACCAGTTCGAGTTCCTTCGAGGCCACTGAGGTGAATACCCTACCGTAAACTTCAAGGCTCCGTGGAATTAGTCGAGGTGCGCGCAAGTTGGTCCGGACATCTACGGTTATTAAAAAAAAAATTATTGCATGTTGTAAAAGATGACCACATTCTACAATAAGATATTTTTCATTGCGTATTCAAGTACGTGTATATATACATGAGATCATACTTTTCGGAGCCTTAGAAACTTGTGGAAAAGATTCGAACAAGACGAGCAAAATATGGCCGTTAGATTGCCACCATTTCTTGGCATTAGAATCTACATGAAATTAATGGGCAGCTTTGCGGTGTTAAATTCTTTGACCAAATGAAGAATGCAATGTTCGTATGATTTTTCTTGGGGGGTTGATGTGTTGATGGAATGTGCATGGTACAATTTGTTTGGTGAAAGCTTGACAATTTAATAAATGTTGATGATTAAAAATCACGCAGTTGATTTATATCAACTTAATATGATTTTGGGAGTATTGCTGGAGTTTATGAAAATTTAAGGCTAAATTTATATTGATAGAAGTTTGAGGTGTATTGGCGAGAATTTTTTTGAGTTCGATTTTTAACAGGTGATCATTTGCCCTATTATATACCTTTACAATAAGCAAATTGGCCGCCCAATGTCGTAGCAGCTACATTATCGACCTTGAAGTGCATGCCACCGTCCAGTTTTAAGGCCTTTGATTGGTTGATTAGGTAAGCTAAATAGGTCATAATGCGACCTCAGTTGTAGCTGTGGCCTAGCTCATGATTATTGGTCGCCTAGGTAATGATTGATTGTGTCTGATTGGTGGGCGATGAAGTGTTGATGTCATAGATGTCACTTGTTCCTCTGGGAGTGGTGGTCCAGATGGTGATGACAAAATTTAGGAGATATGTGATGATTTTTCTAGATGACAACGTTCATAACCAAATTGATCAGATGAACTTTTAGTTCGTTCTCTTTGAAGTAATTTTTGCATCTTTTTGTTAGCTCTCCTTAAATTAAAGTGAATCTGAGGTGATTGTGAGTTTGGACGCAAACAAATGTTAACAAGACTTGTTACTACCATGTGAGCCATTATTTTGTCGTTCACTTCATTGTCTTTTCCCTAGCTCCACGCACCCACTTCTTCCATTAACCCCAGTTTGATTTCACTACAAATCAAATTTAATTAGATTTTGATCAAAATTAATAAAACGTGTGATTGAAAAGTTGATAAAAAAATGTAGATCCTATAAAAATATGTAGTAAAATTAAAATTTGATTTTTAACTTAGATTTTTATATTAAAATGACTATATAACAATATCGTGAACATGACTTTAGTTAATCGATACCATTCGATGATATTGAGATGCACTAAGATTAGATAAAATATTTGTTAGACTAAGTAAAAAATAACTCCATTAAATAAAAATAAAAATCTTTCAAGTGGAGTTTTTAACTTGTTTTAGGCTTATTAAATGAACAATTTTCTTCTAAATAATTTTTATTACATTTTTCAATTTAATAATATTGAAAAGGACACACTGATTGATCAAGGACAAGGACATAGAATGACCTAACAATTTCCAGTAGGACCAAAGCCCACTTATCATGCTGACAATTGGATTGGCAGTTGAGAGGGCCGACTTGAAACCCGATTGTGTGGCCCAGTAATTTCTTGAACAGGACGAAGAAGAAAAGTGTTTTGATTTTTTTACTGTGTTTCATGGAGTTTTAAGAAATCCGGAAGGGTTTTTTGATTGACACTACGCGATTTCTAACGGTTGATCGCCTACTAATGGACTGCTTCGAATCCTCATATAGTGCTGGAGTTTCATATACTCCTCCGTGGTAACTAATCAACTGGATTCAATTATTTATTAATTTGCCTGTTATTTTGTAAATGCCATATCTTTTCTGCAATAAGTTTTAGATTTACGGAGAAAGGAACAACACATTTTGGAAAGTTGATATTATTTCTTGGTTAGGAGTTAGGTATTGGGTGTTATGGTTCTTTCTTGTCGATTATTATACAAAATTTTAGATTCTTCTTTGTCAATACTATCGAATGTTGTCGAATTTGCTTTACCAACAACGCCATGAATGTATGTATCCAATACTTTATCAACTTCTACGAATTTAGTGTAACAGTTTGCTTTGACTAACAGTAATTATAGTAAATAACAGTTGATCCCATGATTCAGAGAGTATAATGAATCAAGATTTTATCAAAAGCTAACTAGTCAATGGCTGCATGACTACAATATGAAAAAAATCGAGCCCAGCAGTGTATAAGACTATTACATTTCGAGATACAACATCATATCTTACTCCTCATTCTTACTAACTTGGCTAATGTTTCTTGAGCAGCTAATGTTTGAGCATGGTTGTGGCCTAGCATCACCGTCCTGATACTGATGCAAGTTCTGCACAGCTCTTCCCCACTGTCGAAATGGCCTCCTCTCAGCAGTAATTTTGCTCTCGTCTCGAGCAGTGTAGCTTTCAACAATGTCACTTCCTGCCACACGTACTCGTCCACTCTCTGATTCGATTGCAGTGCCTTTTTCCAGCAAAGAGAACTATGGCACCAATGCTGTATCTGAGACACGAACGACTTCTCGACTTCGTCCAGCACGTTTGTGCAGACCTTCAGAAGCTCTAAGGCCGAGTTGCATCTTGAGAATGTTGTGAAGGCGCTTATTGCTAGAGGGAGAGTAGTTTTCTTGATAAAGACAAACATGTCAATTGCCTTGAGCTGGACAATTGGGGGTTCAGATTTAAAGCCGAAGACAAGGAAAGCTGAAGCCCATAGGTGGTCAGAATTTGCCATTGGATTTCCAATTTTCCTTACACCTTGAACGGTTGCCTTGCCAGCAACTGAACCATCTTTCGTTTTTGCAAATGTTTGAGTGATGTTGTGTAACTGAATCCAGCATCCGGGCTGTTTATTGGCCACCCTTGCCAAACCGAGTTTAACCAAGAGAAGTGCTGAATCCTCTTCACTCTTCCATGTTTGACTTGCTAAACAACCAGAGCAACTACAGAAAGTGAGTTTCAAGCATTTAGTCCACTTTCTAAACTTGTTTCCGGTGGAAGGTATATAATTTGCTGCTGCGGCCAGTAAATTTGCTGAAATGGGAGCTGGGGCAAACCATGCTCCGACCTGAAGCATTCTCCAGGCTAGGAGATTCCTCCCCCCATTTGTTTGCTGCAATACGGCAGCACAGAAGGACAATACTTTCATTAGAAAAATATTTGTTCTGCAAAATTGTTGATCTGTAATGGAGCAGCCAGTAGCTTCCTCATATTGGACATTGTTCACAGCCTCAAACAGAGCCAATGGAGTAGTTGCAAGTTCAGAAAGCAGTGAACCAATCACCCACAATCCGAAACTTGACCTGCCCAATTTCTCATCGAACTTCCCGAGGATTTCTAGTTCTGCAGCTGGGTACTCCTGTTTCCTTCTTCCTCTAATCAATGTCATTGCATCAGAAAATGGCAATGGCTGAAGTTGAATTGGTTCAAAGTTCATTACTTTTGGGAGCCTTGTTGTGATAATTACATCTGTGCCACCTGTGTTCCTCGGTATTAAGTTGCTTAGATCCTTCCCTTCCCACCATTCGTTCTCAGTCTCTAGATCATCGATAATCAGTAAATAAGGAATGTCCCGAAACAGCTCCCTTTTAACTCTCTTGAATGTTTCAGATTCTTGTTCATCGAACCTCCGGATCCTCCCTCTTACCTTCTCTGCATCTGCACCCACATCCAACCCCATATTGAGCGATATGTTTAGTATATTTTGCCTGAGATACCGAGTTTCACCACCAACCCACAAAACCATTTTGTATCTGTGTGAGTACCTGTATGCAAATTCCAAAGCAAGCTCTGTCTTTCCAACTCCTGGTGATCCGTTTATGCACACGACACTGCTACCAAAGCTCTTGTTTTTCCCACTTGTAGACTTCTTGTATTTTGGTCTTTTCTGTGAATTTCTTCCGATAACTGGTTCAGACCAAGCCTCCAAAGTTGGCTCCTTGCACCTGCCAACCTCCATATTTGCGTATTTGCCTCCTTTAACTGTATCGACCTCACATTCCTCATCTGCTAGACCTTCAGATTGCCCTGGTGTTCCTCCTTTAATAGTTGGCACGGTACATTCTTGCTCC